TCAAGTTTCAATCTGATTAAAAGATTTCGTTTTTTTCTTCTTATACTTTCGATCGTCCACACAACATGAAGATCTGACCAGTTGTAGTTAAAAGTTGCGTCAGAGATCATACAAGCTGCTTTTGACCCTATGACGTCAGACATTTGATTAACCAATCAGCATTGGTGTTTCTAGTAGGTTACCCACAGTTTCGGGCACCTCACGCCAAAAACTCGCCGTAACAGACAGTTTCATTGGCTAATCCCTCACATCATCCAGTATGCAGGTTATATAACAACTCTTCCAGATCCTAGTGTAATAAAGACAAGTAAAACAAAATTGTGAACTATAAAAAAACAAAACCAAAAAGGATCTGTGTTTTAATCAGATTGATCAAATTTTACCACAGGGGAAACAAAGCGATTAAAATTTCACACTCCATGACCACCAAGATGTTAAAAAAAAAACCTAAGAATAGGAACAGAAAACAAAAAAACAGAAGCCAGTCTTGTATTATTTTCCAATAAAGCCACTAATCTCTGATAAGATTGAAAAAGCAATAAATAAGTACCAAATGTGGTGCTTCAAGTCCACGACCTGCATGCTAAAATACAAATCGACGCCAGAACAAAGCCTTTGCTAATCAGCATTAGCCGGTTTCTGGCAGTAATTGTACGAGTATGCCAGGCATGATCGGCTAAATAATTTATCCATTTATTACAAATCTATAAAAACCATGGCAAGAATTCTTCAAGCATTGTCAAAGTTAAAGATACATTGTAGGAGATTTGATAGATCTGGCAGTTCTCACTATAATTGTTAAAAACCAGATAATGTAATGGGAATATGCTAAAAATTTCAGTCAAACTGCTTCACTCTAAGCTGAGAAAATCTTATTTTAAAATCTTTGTAGCCTCAATTGTCATTGTTAGCTCTGTGTCACGTTATGTAACAAAGTTTTGTTTATCCATTTTTGTGTTTAATAATCAACTGACGTTGAACAGCAGATCGGATTCATATCCATTGAAAATCAGACAGACAAGATGGCATAGAGAGTTGATTATTGTGTTAATAAATGTCTAATTAAAAACTTAGATAACATTTCAGGCCCAAAGAAAGAGCTGCAATACTTAGATTTAACTCTTGAATAATGTATGTTTAAAGTAATAAAATCTTGATCATCCATTAACCGTTGAAAATCTCGAGCATCCAATGGCATCGAAAGTTGATTATGGTTTTGACGAGTTAATAAATCTCGAGCATCCAATGGCATCGAAAGTTGATTATGGTCTTGACGAGTTAATAAATGTCGAGCATCCAATGGCATCGAAAGTTGATTATGGTCTTGACGAGTTAATAAATGTCGAGCATCCAATGGCATCGAGAGTTCATTATGGTTTTGACGAGTTAATAAATCTCGAGCATCCAATGGCATCGAAAGTTGATTATGGTTTGACGAGTTAATAAATGTCGAGCATCCAATGGCATCGAGAGTTCATTATGTCTTGACAAGTTAATAAATTAAATGTCAAATTAACAATTTAGATAACATTTCAGGCCCAAAGAAAGACCTGCAATAGGCAGATCTAGCTCTTGAATAATGTATGTTTATGTACTAAGGCTACGGTAGCTGTATTTGTTTATTATGTATTACGGCTAAGGGAGAGAAGGATCTCCAATAACTCTAGGGGAGATCAGGGAGAGGAAACGCCCACTGGCAGATTTAGCTCTTGCATGTTTAAGAAAGTTTTCTGCACGGATGATCTATATTTTCTATTGAAGAAGAAGAAGGCAAAAAGAATTAAAGAATTTGATCTAATAATAAAACGGATCCAAAGAAAATATTATTTAATCATGAGACTATACTTGGTTAACTTCTTTTTTTTAATATACAAAAAACAAGAATAGCATTGTAGGCCAAATCAATTTAAATTTCATTATTATTCTTTCTGTTTGTTGAAATAAAAAATAAAAAGAAGAATAACTTGTTGCTCTCAATTTTAAACAAAACATGGCTGACAAGACTCAAGATAACGCCCACTTGACACAAACTAGGTAATTTCGGGACTAACACATGGTTTAATTTGTTTTCAATAATTCACTTGGGTGTAGGGGTCTTCAGCAGTGGAAAGAAACCAAAGGACCCGGAGAAAACCCACGACACGAGGTTGGACTGGCGACTTTATTCCTGATCACATTCAAGCGGGGAATCTTATCATACAACACGCACGCACCCAACCCTCCTAGCATACTGCAAACAGAGCTCTGTATACTTCATTCTGTCCTGAATGGCCACCATATCCCAAAATTAGTATAGTATTTTGTAATGCGGTTCTACTCTGTTTCACATCTGTCATACACACAGAGACTAAATAAACCTATTCAATTCCATTAAATGGAAGCAGAATAAATACTTCGCAAAATTCTCCAAGTTTATGCTTAGTGTTTTCGACTAAAATCATCGATATAGTACTTAAAATGTCAGTCAACTACATTTGTAGCTTAGTGTCTATTCTCAAGCGGAGCTAACTGTAGACAAGCAGCCTAAGTTTAGTATGCCCTCCTAGGACCCAGAAGAGAGAGAGAGAGAGAGAGAGAGAGAGAGATGGGGTTTAACGTCCACTCGACACAAACTAGGTCATTTCAGGATGAACACATGGTTCAATTTTATTTCTAAAATTATTTGCGCGTAGGGGTCTTAATAGCAGTGGGAGGAAACCGGAGGACCCGGAGAAACCCACGAGGTTGGACAGGCGACCCTACTCCTTGTCACTTACAACCGGGGATTCGAAACCACACCAGTCAACTCAATGACAGACCTTATGATACAGCTTACCATTTGGCTATCCAACCCCACTGGAACCAGAAGAACTAAAACTTAAATTGGTTTCGCCTGATAGTAACTGAGTGATCAATATTAATACACTTAATGAGTATTGTTTCATAAATAAACATCTCATTTCTTTAAGTTCACTAGACAAGTATTGTTTCAAAACAAAACAAGTTATCATCAGTAGAAAATATTTTCTCAATGCTTATTATATATGCAACTTGGTGGAAAAGGTCCAAGTTTTCATGGGCCTTGATCGTGGCTTTCATTTCAGTTGTTTACCTGTCTTTTAATTGACAGGCAGTGCAACTGGAGAACAATCATGTCAGTTAATTTACAGGATTTAAAATTATAATTTCAAAGAATTTAAAGGCCCATTATGCAAGATTTAAATCTGCCTATTGTGCAGGTCTTTCTTTTGACCATAGATATTAATTAACAGTACAAGACCATAATCAACTCTTGATGCCATCGGGTAGCTCGGATTTTAAGTAGATTAGAACTGTTTGGCCATTTAATGATTTAAATGAAAAAATGGATAATCGAGACTTAAGCAAACGGTAGCAATGACAATCGAGGATACACTGTCCTCCTAACAGCAATAACTTGGCTCAGAGTGAAGTAATTTGACTGAAATGTTCAACATATTCCCTTTTTATTATCTATTTTTTTTAACTATTATAGCAAGAAGTGTCAGCTGTTTATCTAATCTTACATAATGCTCCATTAAACTTAAAGCACAATATATACCATTAATTACATGTAAGTTAATTTTTTATTTGTTATGTACTATGAGGTTAGAAGGTCAGTCTTTCATTAAAACACTATACAGTTCAATTTAAAGCTTTAATGTACCATAAAATTAGAATGTCAGTCTTTCATTAAAACACAATAAATTTAAAAGCTTTAATGTACCATGAGATTAGAATGCCAGTCCTTCATAAAACACAATATACACAGTTTGATTTAAAGCTTTAATGTACCATAAACACGATTACACAGTTCAATTTAAAGCTTTAATGTACCATAAACACGATGTACACAGTTCAATTTAAAGCTTTAATGTACCATAAACATGATGTACACAGTTCAATTTAAAGCTTTAATGTACATGCGCCATAGATTAGAATGCCAGTCCTTTATTAAAACACACTGAATAAATTTAAAATTTTGGGGATAATGTTAAAAATTGTCATATTCTTTGGAAAAATTATCTTGCCAATCCCAGGTACACAGAATACATCAAAAATTCACTAACTGGCAAACTTTGACACAAAATTCCTGGTCTTGATGTGACGGAAAATTAATTTTTTCAGTAAACACAGACTTTTTTACAAAGTTACGTTGGGATAATGCAAGCATTGATCTTTCACTGGCCTTTAACTTTCTTGTTTAGAAACCGACTTTAATAAGGAAAGAAAAAGGACCTACAAGGCAGACTTAAAATGGCTTTATTTGATCAGACAAATGAATGTTTGCTAAAGTGAAAGTTGTCGACATTCGGTGTGTTGACTGCGTATTGTTACGGCTATAATAATGCTATTATGACAACCACCTTTGTAGTTTGGTGAAATCTATACATTACGTCGGGGCGTTGCGAGAAGGTAAATGTTGAAAATCAACAGATAAAATTCTAGTCAAAGACATTGATTCACTTCCCCATTTTTATGCACTCAAAGAATTTTTGATTATGGATTCAGTCAATATATTCTAGGTTCACACAGTGTCTGTTTTCAACGCTATCGAAAACTACCATAAATGATTAAACGTATGAAATTATTAAAGATGCAAGGCCTGGAAATAACGGTTTTAGATGTAGCCAGAGCTGTTCACATCACTTTTTTTTTTTTCAATTTACTTCACATTAATATCTCAGGCTTAATTACAATAACAGTTTATGAGAAATATCTTTGATACAGAAACACAAAACACAGCTGTCTAGTCGGTCGGATGATATAGAAAACTAAGGTCCCGTGTACACATTGGCATGCAGGTAAAAGATCCCTTGACAGTTCGAATTCGATATAAAAGTAGACCGTAGTGCCGCTGTCCGGGCAAAATTCAACTCATAGCACACTGTATGTCATATGCCCGTCTTCATTAGTCCAGTTAGGAGCAGAACAGTAGGATGTTAAACCCCATTTCATTTCATTTCTTCTCATTCAGCTTAAACAAATTTAATTTAACTTACATTGGACGACCAAATTCATCTTTTTCCACAGCTGAATCTGACACACCTTCTTTTTCCATCAACATTTTTCTGAAGACCGAAACCTTCCCCTCTATTTCCTCTTTCGAATACCTGAAAAATATAATTATTTCAAAAAGTTACTTCGAGTACATCTTCAAGTCTTGAATCAAGACAAAGGCCATGTCACAGACAATCACAGATACCTGAAAGTGTGAATGGGAAATGGGCTTTATTAACGTCCACTCGACACAAACTAGGTCATTTCAGGACTAACATATGGTTCAATTTTGCACGTAGCAGTGGGAGTTAACCAGTGTACCCGGAGGAAACCCCCGAGGTTGGACAGGCGAAACTACTCTTTGTCAATGATTGACCTTATGATGCAACGTGCATTCGTTAACCATTCATTCACACGAACCCCAATTATTTAAAAAAAAACAACAAATGTCACAAATGCCAAAGGAGGCATAACTATATTTAATGTTGGAATTTTAATCAAGCCTTGAAAAAGGCACCTGTTGCAGACATTCTCAGACACAATTCCTCTAGTGCCTGTCATTGCATCTGGCACAGATTTACATGTACCTTTTCAGGAGAAGGCTAGATCGCAGACGGTCCTGAACATATGACGTCATATGTGGATTGCGCATTAGGGTTAGGGTAAGAGTTAGGCTTGGTCCAGGGTTAGGGGTTAGGCTTGGTCCAGGGTTAGGGTTGGGGCTAGTCCTGTTTAGTTCCTGAGGCTTTGACGAAATCTGCAGGTCCTAAAACCTATCCTAACCCACAATCCTTGTATGACGTATGTGCTAAAATGTGCTGGATTGTTGCCCATCTAGCATTCTCCACATGGGCTACAACATACTCCTCGCAGTGTTTCGTTTGATTACAACTAATCCCACTTAACACTGCTGTAAAGGAAGCAAATTTCTGTTCCAAATCATGATTGGTCCATAGTCCAATTGACAACCAATATCTAACTGCGTAACAATATCATTACGCTTTAAACAGAGCTCCCAACTGGACCAAATATGGTTACATAACGTTACGTCATGACTCACAAATTTACTATGCCCAGTTAACCGGTGCATAGCAGATTACAGAAAAGGCTATCAACACAGATACAATGGAAACAATACTGTTTGGAGACAAACAATAATTTCACCGTTTTTAATACCTTAAATCACTGTCCGAAGTTTTAGGTAAGACCCCAGATTAAATGAAGGGCTGTCACACTGCTGTACTTGGAATAGAACGGGAAGAATAGACACACTCCCTCAAAAGCAATGGCAATGGCCAGAGAGGGATTTCTCTGGCCATTGCTTCAGGAATAGAGGGTTACAATAAGGTTTATAATACATGGCCAACCAAAGTGGAGGGGTGTGGATGGCCGAATGGTTAGCGTGTGCGCGATGTATCAGATGGTCTGTCATTGAGTCAACTGGCGTGGTTTCGATTCCCCGGTTATACGTAACAAGGAGTAGGGTCGCAAGCCCAACCTCATGCGTTTTCTACGGATCCTCCCACTGTTAAAGACAAACGAATTATTGAAATAAGGTTGGATCATATGTTAGTCCCGAAATGACCTGCCTCTGTCTCTATCTGTCTCTCTGTATCTAGTGCAGAGCAGTAGAACATTAACCCTCATTTCATTTCATTTTTTATTCATCCAAATAGCCTTGGTAAAGAAGATGAGAATTGAAGCCTACATGATCTAGAACTGATATGCCAATTGTAAAAATAGTAAATGAATCCGACATTGTCTGTTTTTTGATGAAATAGCAATCAATTTAATATCAAGACATAAGAAGCAGAACAATATCATTATTATATTTCAGAAGTTACACCCAATTTCATTTCATTTTTTATTCAACCAAAGCTATGGTAAAAAAACCCAACAAGATAGAACTGAAATGCCAACTGTATAAATGGTAATAAATGAATCCAACACCATATTGTCTGTGTTTCCATTGAGATAGCAATCAATCTAATATCAGTTATAAGAAGCAGAACAATATCATTATTATATTTCAATACATAGTCAAACGACCAATATCTCTTGTACATGACCATGTAATATTATCTAGTCCTGTTTGATCATTTTATTCATAGCCGTATTAACATTAAAGAACAATACAGTGCGCTTCTTGTTGCTCTCTTCTGATAGGTTTTCAATATGGTGATTTCCCTTGTGGCCTAACATTCAACACGTTAGCGATTTAATTAGTCAATTTTGCCCCATTATTAGCAACATCTTATCAATATTTATTTTGATATCTCGTGTTGTAGACATTGTGTTGACCTTCCCCGTGCCGTCAATTACGCTATCATTAAAAATCCATCTATTGTCTGTCATGCTGATGGAGCTACAGTGGCTCAGTGAGTAAGATGTTAGCCCGATCCCGTGTTGGCCCAGATAGAAATGAAATGAAATGGGGTTTAACGTCCTACTGTTCTGCTCCGAACTGGGCTAATGAAGATGGGCATATCGCCTACTCTTACATGTATATCGAATTCCAACTGCTATGAGCAGGCCACGAAATTTCACGCGAACAGTGTACCCATCTTTGCTCATCTCCATATGTTTTGAGATTTTTATCAGTAGATATATCCAGTTTGTGTTAATACCTTATTCAGGGTTCCCGCGGCTTCGTCAAATATTTTTTCAAGGATATTCAAGGATAAATATACGTCAAATTCAAGGATTTTCAAGGACATTTTTTAGCCTAAAGTTACAATTTTTCATCTTAAAAATAACCAAAACATTACCAACTATCGTTATAATCTCATATTTAAAAGGAATTGAAGACATTTGAAACAAAATTAAGGATCTCAACTGAAATTCAAGGATATTTTCCTATTTCCGCGAAATTCAAGGATATTCAAGACCTTGAAAATGAAATTTGAAATTTAAGGATTTTCAAGGACCGCAGGAACCCTGTTATTAACTATTAATTTTCTAACACCAGTGGCACAGCTCTACGATTTTATGTTTTAAGAAGGGGAGAGAGAGAGAAATGGAGTTTAACATCCACTCGACACAAACTAGGTTATTTCGGGACTAACATATGGTTTAATTTTATTTCAATAATTTGCTTGCGTGTAGGGGTCTTTAGCAGTGGGAGGAAACCGGAGGACCTGGGAGAAAACCCACGAGGTTGGGGAGGTGACTCTAATCCTAGTCACGTACAACCGGGAAAGAGAGAGAGAGAATGGGGTTTAATGTCCACTCGACACAAACTAGATCATTTTGGGACTAACTTATGTTTTAATTTTATTTCAATAATTTGCTTCGCAGTGGGAGGAAACCGGAGGACCCGGCAGAAAACCAACGAGGTTGGACAGACGACCCTACTTCTTGTCACCTACAACCGGGGATTCGAAACCACCCTAGATGACTCAATGACAGACTTATGATACCGCGCGCACATGCTAACCATTCGGCCATACAACCCCACTTTTTTTTTTAAGAAGGGGACTTGGTTCGAAAACTTATCAATATAATAATCTTTTACCAATAATTTCTCCCTTTTTGTTGTTGGCATTCCCATTTCTGGATCTGCGAGATGTTTCCAGTTTGTATCTTATTAAATATTTATGTTCTAATATCAGTGGGGGGGGGGTGTAAGTGGTCTAAAATGTGCGATTTAGATCATAGGACCTGTCACTGGGACAAGTAGCGGGGTGGGGGGTAGTTGGTCTTACATGTGTGATTTAGATCATAAGGCCTGCCACTAAGTCAAGTGTCGTGGTTTCGATCACAAGCTTGTATGTGACCAGGAGAAAGGTCCCATGTACAACCATGTGGGTTTCTCTGGCTCCTTTAGTTTCCCTCTAAGCTAAAGACATTTACGTCCCAAGATGACCTAGTTTGTGTCCAGTGGACAATACTCTCTCTAGTTAAGATGGTATTTTAAACTGTATAACGCATGGTTAAGATGGTATTTCAAACTGTATAACAGATGATGAAGATGGTATTTTATACTGTATAACGCATGGTTAAGATGGTATTTCAAACTGTATAACGCATGGTTAAGATGGTATTTCAAACTGTATAACACATGGTGAAGATCGTATTTTAAACTGCGTAACGCATGGTTAAGAAGGTATTTTAAACTGCGTAACGCATGGGGAAGATGGTATTTTAAACTGCGTAACGCATGGTGAAGATGGTATTTTAAACTGCGTAACGCATGGTGAAGATGGTATTTTAAACTGCGTAACGCATGGTTAAGATGGTATTTTAAACTGCGTAACGCATGGTTAAGATGGTATTTTAAAATTTATTTTATACCTTATAAAGCATAATAAAGATTGACTCTTAAAGATACATAATGGGAGATTAGATAAAGAGCTGGTAGTTCTCACTATAATAGTTAAAAACTAGATAATGTAAAGGGAATTTTGGGCCTAGCCTCGATCATCATTACTGAAGTCGGTAAGATAAAAAACATAGTCTCGATTATCCATTTTTTTATTTAATCAGAAGCAGCAGATCGGGTTCTAATCCAGTAAATATCGCAGGCTAGTGATGCCATCGAGAGTTGATTATGGTCTGGATAAGTTAATTAATGTCTAATTGATAATTTAGATAACATTTCAGGCCTAAAGAAAGACTTGTAATAAGCAGATTTAGCTCTTGCATAATGTATGTTTAAACTTTATTTTAGACTTTATAAAGCAGCTATTATTAAACATTGGGTCTACGACATGCTTTTATCTCACGATTATTTCCTCCAGAGAGAGAGAGAGAAATGGGGTTTAACGTCCACTCGACACAAACTAGGTCATTTCGGGACTAACATATGGTTTAATTTTATTTACATAATTCGCTTGCGCGTAGGGGTCTTTAGCAGTGGGAGGAAACTACAGGACCCGGAGAAAACCCACGAAGTTGGACAGGCGACCCTACTCCTTGCCACGTACAACCGGGGATTGGAAACCACGCCAGTCGACTCAATGACAGACTTTATGATACAGCGCGCGCACGCTAACCATTCAGCCATCCAACCCCCCTTATTTCCTCCAGTTTATCTATGGTTTGCTACTGCACAAAAACATCCTTAATATATTACCAATATTGGCTGCTAACCTTCCTAGGTTCATAGATTATG